ATTTGCGGTGGAGGAATGTGTTGCGCCCTTTGCGAGGGGGCGCATTGGCGCGGCGAGCTGTATTTACAGAAGGCTTTATGGCCGCGGTCACCGAGAGTGCGGAGTGGAGGGCCCAGGCCAGGCGCGCTGCCCCCAAACAACGCCAGCCAGCGTTTCAGCCAAATTGGGGAGCTGCTCACCCTGTGCTCTCCTGTGGTTGTCCTTGTGATACCTTCCCTATATCTTCTCAAAGTTTCTCTCATTTAAGTTAACTTACAGATCAAATTTATGTTCATTAATTAACCCCGAAAGCGTATCTGTCATAATAGTGCATAATACCTCAAAACGACATTTCTACTGACTGGGCAAATTTGGCTTGAAAAGAAGAATAATTTTTAAACATCGGACTTGTTTTGGGAAACAATAATTTAAGTCAAATTGGGGAGTTGCTCACCCTGTGCTCTCCTGTGAATGTGCTTGTGACATCTTCCTTATATCTTCTCAAAGTTTCACCCGCTAAAGTAAAGTTATAGATCAAATGTAATTAACTAACCATGAAATTTGGTTTATATGTAGAATAAGTTTTGAAATTTGGATCGGTTTTTGGAAACAACACGTTTCAGTCTAATTGGGAAGCTGCTGACCCTGTACTCACTAGTGGTTGTGCTTGTAATACATTCCTTATATCTTCTCCATGTTTTTCTCGCTAAATTTCAGTTATTCATTAAATGTATGTTCATTAACTAATCGAGAAAGCGTAATCTTCTCTCATTTATTGTTTAACTGAAAATTAATTAAATAGTGCAGAATTTTTGAAAACGACATTTCTACTAATTAATTTGTTTGGTAAAAAATAATAATTTTGTAATGTTCAACGTGCGTTTCCATTACCTACCGTACTCCAAGGAGGTAAGTAGGCATGCATTTCATTGAATTTCAGGAACAATAATGGTCAAGACAATAAGATTTGCATCTCTCTTATGTGAGTGAGGACAGTGTATATATTACGCCTCTCAATATTTTCTTGACTAGTACATCCAAAATTTGTTATTATTTAGTCTTGCCAATGAAACAGATGGTTTCAATTTGAAATTTATTATGAAAAGTAGGATTGTAAGCATATCATTGTATACTCTCCATTTAGGAAATTGTGACGTATATTTTTGCATTTGAAGTTCTTATTTTAAGTGCCTAAAGCCAAAGGATTCTGACATAAAATAATTGAAGTCTAATGATGTCCCGCTTTTGCATTCACGCGATATTTTAAGTTGGAGGATATTACAATTGCAGTTAATCCGCTCACCAGTTAGCGATTGCTCAACGTCCTATACCTTTATCTATGGTATACTTGAATTAGTATACATTAGTAATACTAACTTATATTTATGCACGTGTGTTAATACTCCTGCACGATGGTTAACTTATATTTCTGCACGTGGTGCGTACTCTTGGTAAGAAAGAAACTAATTCATCAAACATCGGTCTTTTTATTTTGTTATTGTTCAGAATTTTGTAACTTGCAAAACAGTTTTATTGCACTTCTACTGGCTCCAAGATAAACGAAATCTTTGACACATTAATAACTTCTGGAGAATATAAAATGAATTCTCTATTACACCGTCAGGTTGAGAAGAAAGAAGCAGGTCAAATTTTTATTTCTTAAATATCGATTTGGTCCTAGCAAAGATTACGTGAGAACAGAAAACACTTTCAAAAATAAATACCTGCTGTAAACATTAGTAACAGAATAATGATTAATATTACACGAGTAATAACATTTTGAACGAATGGAAGGAATTATCTCGGTTTGCGAGAAAAGTTCGACATAATTAGTTTACTAAACTACAAAAATAAAAAAAAAATATTTTGCCGGATAAATTCTTCTCTAAACAGCCTACATCACAAGGTGGTCCCTGCATCTGCCCCTTCTCTTTCCTTCCAAGTTCGCAGACATAAACGTCTCAGGAATGGAGATAAGACAATTTGTTGGTGTGCAGAAAATGGGCAGAACCAGTGACGCGAGAGTGAGCAGTGCGAGACGTCCTGCGAGATGACCTCCAGACTCGTAAATTTATGACCTGTGGTGTAGTTATACTGTGGCCTCAAGTCCACGGGAGGCCACCAGAGTCCGCAACGCGACCGGAAAAGCAGGAAATTTCTCCGCCCTCGCCGCATCGCGGTTGCAGCTAGTCAAGCTATGACGCAGCGGCCACAACTCCGGTCGTCAGTCGGCGCCCGCCCGCCGCCGCGCAGCGAGCCCGGCCGCGCCGCCGCGCCGTAGCCGCCGCCCGCGCCCGCCGCCGCCGTCGCGCCGCCGCAGCCGCCGCTGCCAGCCGCCCGCTGCCAGCCGCCCGCTGCCCAGCCGCCCGCTGCCAGCCGCCCGCTGCCAGGCCGCTGCCAGCGCCTTGCCAGCGCCGCTGCCAGCCGCCCGCTGCAGCCGCCCGCGCCGCCGCCGCTGCCGCGCCCGTGCAGCCGCCCGCCGAGCCTGCGCCTGCCGCGCACGCCGCCGCCACTGCCGCCGCCACTGCCCACTGTCCGCGCACTGCCCGCCGCCCACTGCCCGCGCCCACTGCCCGGCCGCACTGCGCCGACTGCCGACGCACTGCCCACTGTGTCCCGCCGCCCACTGCCCGCCGCCACTGCCCGCCGCCACTGCCCGCCGCCCACTGTCCGCCGCCCACTGCCCGCGCCCACGCCGCCGCCCAACTGCCCCGGCCACTCCGCCGCCCGATGCCCGCCCGCCCATGCCGCGCCCACTGCACCCCAGCCCCGCCATGTCCGCGCCCCTGCCCCCACTTCCGCCGCACCACTGCCCTGCCGCCCACTCGTGCCCACTTGCCCGCCGCCCACTGGCCGCGCCATGCCCGCCCGCCCACTGCGCCGCCACGCCTCAGTCCCAGCCGGCCTCGCCACGTCTCCCCGCTCCTCAGTCCGCACCCCGCTATCCCGCGCCACCTGGCTGCCACCTACTCCCACTGCCTGCCTCCCAGCACCTTGTTCCCCCTGCCTGCGCCCGCCCCACGTCCCCAGCGTTCAGGCCACCACCCGCCCCGGCCGTCATTGCCGTCGCCAACCGTGACCTCCCTCTTACTGCTGCGCGCCGCCGCTCATGCCGATGTCCAGCCGCGCCCTCCCCGCGTCCCTCAGCTTCGCGTCCGTGCCCAGCGCGCTCCGCCTGATCGTAGGCTGCAGGAAGGCGCCGCGCGCGCAACGAGGGCGCGGCTGTCGTTAAGAAGGCCTTATCAGCGGAGACGGCCCCCGGCGCGCCATCACGCCCACTTAGGCGATCGCGGTGCGGCGCGGCGCGGATTACGAGCCGGGAGGGGTCAGCTAATATGCAATTACGCTGAATATTGCAGCGGCGCGTCAACCACGCCTTACGTGTCGCCAGGGGAGTGGGGTGGAGAAGAGGCTGAGGGTGTGAGGAGTTGGTGGGCTAAATCGTTGCGGAGGATGGTCATCGGCCTCCTTGTGGGTGGATGTTAGGATGGAAAGGAGGCGGTGGTGAGACAAGGCGAGGATAGGATGCATATGTAGCTCTTTATGTTTCCGAAATTGGCAATACTCGTGTTGCTAGGCAACATCTGTCGAACAAATCGAAAATTTTGGCCTTTTTTATGGTTATACATACCTAAAACTTTGTTAGCTACGGACGCGAATTGTGTTGTTCTGTGATTTGAATGTTTCTTGTCGGTCAAGATATGAAGTTGACTCGAAAACATTTCCAAGCGACGATTTTCTACAATTTTCTGTGCAGATTAAATCAATAACAATGCATTAATCAAACTATTCCGACTTTTGGTAATGAATCGAAATATCGTCGAAATATACCGTCGAAAACAACTGTCTGCCAAAAATGTTGTGAATTCAATCGTGGCCGTATTCGTTCCCCGACGAATTTAAAAAAATCGTCGAAAATCAGCTGTTGTGCCAGAAAACATCAATGCTGTTTACGAACTTTTTATGCAAGATCGTCATGTAACAAATCACAAGGTGCAGGCATCCTTGGGCATTAGTATGACAAACAAGTCAGTACTTCATCAAGCAAAACATCGAATTGATGGGTCATCTACCTTTCAGTCCCGATTTTGGCACCCAATATTTTCTTTTTGTCCTCGTTAATGAAGAATAAACTACGTGGTCAACGTTTTTTTTCATGGAGAACATCGTGTTGAGTAATGTTAATTGTTTGTGACTATCCATTGTTCGTTTTATGTACATTCTTATATATCATTCTTGTGATATCTACGGAAAACATTAAAGAGGTGAGGGAGTATTGATAAATGTTTGGAAATGGTATTTCATACATTCTAATACATACATTAAAGTAAGGCTGATAGTACGATTTGCTATTATAGGCCAATACAATGTCCATGGATATACGTCTTAAGATCACGGTAAATATAAAACATAATGTATATTCATGGATATGCTGTATTTTCTGTCGAACCTGTTTTCTAGCACCTCCATCTGTGCAATATAATCGCAGGGGATCAGCTAGTAATACAGTAAGTTAAGCAACATTTGCAATTCACGCACGAGTCGAATTTGTGCATGCGAGTCGAATTTGCCCACGAGCGCATGCGAGGCTGACAGAAGACGAGCGCGCAACTCACTTCGCACGGGTTCTCCATATTGTTTAGTTTTATAGTAGTTTTATAGTTTGGTTAATATAGTGACTTGTCAGAAAATATCAGCTGTGAGCGGTAATCCAAACGGAAGCTTTGATTATACCTAAAATTAAAGTCGTAACCAAGTCGTAATATTTAAATCATACAATATTTTTCAACCCCTCAATGAAAATTAAATAAAAAAATTAACAAATGAAAAAAATGTATGTAATCAGAAAGCAGTAAATGATGTACAGTACAATCCGACTTACCAGCTTCCTTTTGACCAACGAATACGCAGAGTGGCTCTGTCGTCACAGAGACCGCTCTGCGCATGCGCGTGGTCGTTGAAACTCAGAAAAGGAAGCGAGTAAATCAGGTCTAATAGTAGTGAATAGCGAAGCAACTCACCGTTCTTGGTGAGCGTAGTGGGTGACGTCACCGACAGCGCCGTCGACGTTGAGGTAGTGGAGGGGGCGGGGATCTCTGCAAAACGGTGCACGCACGTCATTTAGCTCTGTTTGCTGGTTGTAACTGTCTAATAAAATATCTTGTTTATTATTCAAATGATTCCATTAGGTTTAAAGACAGTCATTTTTCAAAATTCATTTTATTTTTCCTTGCTCTAATACGTATAATATTTTGATACTTTTCGTCTTTTTCAACTACTGATTTTTTCATAACACTAGCGCAACCTAGCAAACGTTGTTTTGCCCTTAATCTCCCTTTCTATCTTCGTTTCCCCCCTCTCCTCTTCAAATAATATTCCTGGCAAAGACTGTTCCAAACAATACAAACTTATATTGTTTTGATGTCTACTTGATATTTCTTTGTACAACCATTAACCCTAGATCACAAATGCGTCTTTCAGACGACACATCTAGTGCCGAAAGCTGACTGTGAAACTCAAGTTTTTTCATCATTCAAGGTGTATCTATAAAACTCTTTAAAATGTATTTTGTAACTCCATATCATATATGTTCAATCCATTAAATTTGTGTTTCATTGTAAAAATGAGTTTCGCTTCATTTTTACACAAAGCAGGCTGTTAGACTACGCCTTTGTAATAATACTTGGTACAGGTCACCTTTGTAATCTAGGGTTAAATTTTCTACATAAATAACAGTGAAACGTGTCGCTGGGTGATGTGTGAACTCACCGTCAAGCTTAATGACGCCGTCCGTCTCCCCCAGAGAGTTTTTGGCGACGCATTTGTACGAACCGAAGTCTCCTTTGCTGACGCTGCGAATCTTGAGCATCATGTACTTGTTGTAGCCGTTGTCCATTGACACAGCCTCGTACTTGTCTCCTGGAACATACACCGCCGCACTTAATTCGTCAACGCTGAGAATTAGTAGCCAAAGCGCAATAACATACAAAAACAGATAAGAAAGGGTGCGTTTTAAAAACAGCAATGTCCACTTTGTTTTCTGAAATTGAGTTATTTGTAGGAGAATATGTTCTAAACGACACATCTATTTTTCTTGATTGCTACCAAAAAGCAGCACTTTACAAAAGCAAGGTAGCTTTTAGGGTTGTTGAATGTGATACACATGAACTTGTGTAGTTCTGTCATGAGAAATTCTCTTATTTAGAAAACCAAACTTATCGAAAGCTAGAAGTTTACAACATCTGGCCTTCTGCTATAATTTATCAGAATGATTCAATACATTTCTTATAGATAAAGTAAGTAAATACTTTCTTTCTGATTATTTTCAGCACATTTCCTCTCTGATCTATCACACACAGACACACACAAAATTAAAATTTACAATTAAACTTGTGAACAAAGTAAACGTCAGAACAGGAGGGGAATGTTATATTTCTATGTTAGGAAGCGAAACTACAAGTTTAAATATCTATTCTTTCAAAAAAAGTCGGTCTACAAGGATAGCCATTCGTATTTTAATGCACAATCTATTATTCAATTCATTTCATTTCTATCGAGTACTAAATTTCATGATTACCACGTAGCCTAAACACTATTTAATCTTATATTGCTGTATTGAAAACTAACTTTTAACACGCAGTATAACATCAATAATTCACGAGACGTTGAGTTTTCTTTCAAGGCTTTCGGCAGCGAAAGGCTAGTCGTAAGAAGAGCTCTGACAATGAGTTGAGAAATAACTCCTGAAAGTGGCAAAAAGTGCTGTGTGCTGGATGCGCGCCGTAACAAGGTGTAGATCTTGGAGCGTCAGGGCGCGCCTGCTGGTGACGGCGCCGTCCCGCGGAACGAGCGAGCGCTGCAGTGTAGCCCTCCGAGCGACGCTACGCAGCCGAAAATACCTTTACTCACTGCCCTTTCCCTTTGTCACTTCAACGCTCTTCACGACCTTCCTTGCTCCCTCTCTTTCTCGCCCTCTCTTTCTCGCCCTCTCTTTCTCACCCTCTCTTTCTCACCCCCTCTCTCTTACTCTCTCTCGGTCTCTCACTATCTTTCTCTGTCTCTCTCACTCTTTCTCTGTCTCTCTCACTCTCTTTCTCTGCCTCTCTCACTCTCTTTCTCTGCCTCTCTCACTCTCTTTCTCTCCCTCTCTCTCACTCTCTCTCTTTTTCTCCTTCTCTCTCACTCTCTTTCTCTCACTCTCTTTCTCTCGCTCTAAATTATTTATTCATTCAATTATTTATCCTTCTATCGCCTCTACGGCACTCACAGTTTTGCCTTGGATTCTTTTATTTTCTATCTTATGCTTTTCTTCGCATCTTTTAACATCTATATTTCTAAAATCTTCCTCTCCCTCATCATTCCATATTAACCTACGTTTATCTCTTCTCTTTCTTCTTTCATTTTAATTAGGCGACCAAGCATTCCAGCCAATTTATTCAATTATTTATTCACTTAAAAAGCTCATCAAGGCGGACACTCCGAATATGTGTATCATCTATGGAAGCTTTAAAATGAGTTCTCAATCACCTCCCAATGTGTCCTTGGAGGCTTTACAGTCCCTGCCAAACGCTAGGTCGATTCTCTGTTCCCCAACTTGTCGCACTGGGTAAATATCTCATTTGAAATTCTTTTTTTAAGCTTTCAGGTGAGTCATGTAGATAGTCTCGCGTGTAGATAGTCTATGGAAGCGCAATCTAAATCAAAAAGCTCCCCGCGCACTCTCGGTACCACTGGACTCCTCCAAGACAGAGAGTTAAGCGTGTGGGTATGGGAATAAAATCAGGATACCATAAGTACTGGAGTGAAAACTTGGGAAGAAGGATTGCTCGCAAAGTATTTAAGGTATTACTCTAAGCTCCGTTAGGAATTATTTGGAGGAAAACATTAGTCGATCAGTGCGCCTATCACTGGAATTCTGCTTCATGTTCTGACGTCACCAGCTACTAGCTCGTCCCACCTCCGCGCTTCGCCTCCTCGCACCGCTTCCCCGCACCGTCTCCTCGCTCTCCATCCTCGCTCCACCTCCCCTCCCCGCCTCCTCGCTCTGTCTCTCAGCATCGCTTCCGCTCCGCCTCCCCGCTCCGTTTACCCGCTCCGTCTACGTGCTCAGCCTCTTCGCTCCGCCCCCCGCTCTCCATTCCCGCTTTACATCCCTTCCCTGCATCCTTGCTCCGACTCCCCGCCACACCTCCCCGTTTCGCCTCCCTACACCGCCTGCGCTCCGTCTCCCCGCCACACCACCCTGATCCGCCTCCCTGCCACCTCCCCCGCTCCGCCTCCCCGCTCGGCCGTGTCAGGCGCCCGCGCCGCGCTTCCTGTCGCATTTCGTCGCGGGGGAGCGCGCCGCGTCTGCTAACTGTCGCGTTGGCAAATTCTCCTCATCCGCGCTTCGCACGCGCTGTCGCTTGCGGCCCCTCCCGCTAGTTCCCCTCCCCGCCGCCAGGCGCGTGCGCCGCGGACGCGGAGCGCGCCTACGAGACGGCAGCGGGAAAGGAGAGCCTTTTTCCCGAATGTCGCCCTCAGCTTTGTCACTTTAAACTTGAAAATGAGATTTCAGAGAGTATGTACTTATAACAAACACCATTTCGCGCGGGAATTAAATCCCTAATTGTGTTGCTTCGTTTCGGAATGAAGCGAAATTCATTTAGAAAAATGCAGTCCCCGCCTTGCCACGTCCCTGCCCCCTCGCGCAGCGTCAGCGCGAGGTGGTGAACGCAAGCTGCAGTGCGGTGCTCCGCTGCGTTCCCTGCCCCTGCTCCACCACGTCCAATCCCCTCCGTCCAAGACTGCGCTGTCCCGCTTTGCTACACGTCGGCAGGTTCCATTTCGCAGCAGTTGGTCCCACTTTGTTCGTTCCAGTTCCGCTCCCCAGGAATTGGTTCCACTATGCGTTCCTGTTCCTCTCCGCCTGTTCCGCTCCATTCTACTCTACTCGTTTCGCTCCGCTCCGACATAGACGTTCTACCCAGTCACATTCAGGTCTATTCTGTATCAATTCACCATTCATTCAGCCTAATTGTGCGCCGTTTCTCGCATATCATCATACATTCCTTTTTACTCGTGCCCTGCTAAGCACCTAACCTTTGCCCCACCTCACTGCTCTCCCATTTCAACCTCACTGCACTGTTTTTCCACAATGACGTTTAAGCACCCTCCCGCAGTCCATCCTGCTTCTCACCAACTGCTAGGCCCGCCAGCTGCCCAAGATACATCGGAGTTCCATTTCCTCGCCGTGGTCCCCACCTCCCATTACCCTGTGAGCCGCCTCACAGTCTCACCTTCATCACACTCTCAGACCTCCTCCACCTTGACATGCACCATCCGTAACGCTGTCCTTAGTCCTCATACCTTGGAAGATGTTTATACACCCACTTCAAATTTAATGTACCAACTGCTCGATCTCAGTCCTCCCCCCTTCTCTATTGTGCTAGAACGTTCTTCCATTCCGAGGGACCACCCTTCACTGACACACTTCTAGGCTTATGACTCCTCGATCCATTTGTACTTGTTCCTATTGCCTCGGTAATCACTCAACTCTTTGTACACTGACAGCCCCTGCTGAAAGGGCGGCGACGGGCAGATGTGAACGTGATTGACTGCGGCAAGTCGCCCGCCTCACATTTGCGGACGTGGAGACGCGGAAGAGTTGGGAAGAGTTGCAGGAGAGACACGGAGCGAGGCGGGAAGAGATGGTGGGACAGGAGAGGAGTTGGAGGAACTCTGTGGATATAGAGAGTTTGGGAGGAGCGGAGTGAAGCAAGGAGGGTTGGTTGTGAAGGGTGGAAGAGGTGGGGCCAACCACATTGATAGTCTCCGAGTCGGAATCGCGATGGAGCATGTGGTTCCGAGAGAAAATGGATGAGGTGGGATATGGGAGGACGCAGAGTGGTGAAGAGTGAGGTGCTGTATCAGGGAGTATCGGGGGGATAGAGAGGCTGGATATGCCAAGTGGGAGAGAGGCACGGGGAGGGTGAGGAAAGGGGTGTCGGGTTCGCACTGTGCGGGTGGCGC